ATTTTATATCATACAGTTGTCATCATGTGTGTTACAAAAACTGAAATGGAAACAGGTGCATAGAAGGGCTAACGTAAAGAATTGAAAACCAGGATATCTACAAAGATTAAATGTCCATTTTTCCTTTTTTCTTGAATAATGACATACAATGATAAGTATGTGTATCAAATGGTTATGCATTAGTTACTGAGAAATTAATCATAACTCAACCCTAAAATACTGAATCAGCTACTGCTAGTTTTATTTCCCACCACCTGAGAAGTACTGTAACATTTTTTGAAGTAGGACAGATGAGCCGAACTGAGGTTTTAGGTGTGTGAGTACACCGTATTCCCAAAGGCGTTTGAAAAGAGCCTGCATTCCCGTTCCTTCGCAGTCTGGCTTTGCTGTACTAATACGTGCTTCGAATTTCCCGCTACCTTCTATTTCCTTGCCAAGGGAAGACGACTCTTTTCTCCTCCCTCCCACTCTACATCCCTGTCTCGCCCCCCTCAGTGACCACTTAAAAAGACCGCTTTCTTAGCACTGCTGCTCCTCGGGAGCCCTCCTTCTCTTCAGTGCCGCTACGCCCCCTACCGCACACAGGGCTACCGAACACGGCCAAGACCCGACAGCTCTCGCGGGAGTCGCTGGCGAGATCTGGGCGTTGCCCGAGCAACGGCGGCCACGCCTTGGGCCCCTTTCTCCGGCCACGTACGCAAAGCGGTCTGAGGAGCGCGGCTGCGCTGAGCGGTTGGGGGCCCTGCCCAGCTCCATGGATGGCTCTGAGGCCCTCACCCTCACCGAGAAGCCTGTGCGTGGCCCCCAGGGGTGCAGAGTGACTTGATCTGCTCTCCTCGGGAGGGATGGAGGAACCCGTGCGGGGCTGACAGGAAGACGTGCAGCCGCCCAGGTCTCGTGCTGCAGGGAATGACAGGGCCTTTCTCTGGTAGCGAATGGCAGCAGAGACAGGGGCTGTGTCACATGTGACCGTGTGGACGATCTGCTCAGCCTGGGGGCAGACCTAAAAGAAGTAGTAGGAAGGTTAAGAAGCATCAGGGAGTCTGAGAAGGATATAGGCTTGTGGAACCAGGCTCTGGCCTCACTGAGAGAAAAAAAAACCCAAGATCCAGAGGTCATGAATCCTCCCCCTTCCCAGACTGAAGGCAGTAGCTCAAAGGAAAGGAGTGAATGGATGCAAGTCCGCACTTGGGCAGCAGGTGAAAGCCACTCTTGCCCACTTCTCCCTCCCAGGTGCATCTGTATGTTATAAAAATCTAGCCAATGATTTTTATTATCATTAATATCGAGAGACAATAAGCAAGCAGCACTGGGTGTGCCGGGGAGTCTTTGCTCCGCCCAAGACGCACAAGGGGAACTTCTGGGGATAGTCTGTTATACTTTTTGGTTTCACGGGCTTCTTGGGTTTCAGCCAATCCTGTTGTCTTCTTTTCCCGGGTTTCTTCGGTTTCAGCCAGTCCTGTTGTTTTCTTTTCCCGGGCTTCTTCAGCCAATCCTGTTGTCTTCTTTTCCCGGGCTTCTTCACCTGTTGCTGGGGTCTTGTCTCCGGGTGAAGAAATACTATGTCTGTCACAAGTCTGACCACCATCTTAGCCCCCATAAATTCCACTCCTTATGTGTTTATTTGTTCAGCGCACAGATTTCACAACGTTCTGTAACAGGACATGTCTCTAAGTTACCTACCCCCCTGTTTTCTAAGAACATTCATGCAGTTTAAACAATGAACAAAACATTCCTTTGCACAATATTGCGGTTGACCCAGGGGAATTATTCCCTTGTTTCTTCTTCCTCCTCACTGTGGTATTGACAGGGACACTTAGCATACCCTTTGCACATAGCACAATGATCACAAGGGATTCCATCTCCACACAAAGTGCAATGATCACTAGGACCCCTGAGTTGCTGACACGATGTAACTGACATGTACAACCTCAGCAATATGAGGCTCAGGAACTGAAAGGCCAGTCAGTGGATGGTCGGAAGTCCATCTGCTGCAGAAGTGGTGGCAGGGTCAGAAAAGCATAATCCCCATATTACGATCACCTCTGTGAGGCAGAAAAGATGGGTTGTAGTTGTAGGTGATTCTCTTCTGAGGGGAACAGCGCGGCCACTATGCTAGGCAGACCCCTCTCATGCAGAAGTCTGCTGCCTCCCTGGGGCCCAGGTTAAGGACATTGTCAGGAAACTGCCAGCCTGGTATGGCCCTCGGGCTGCTGCCTGTTAGTGGTCTTCTATGGGGGTGGTGATTACGCTGCGACCCGTAGTCCCAAGTGTGATCAAAAGGGACAGTGGGTAAGGGGGATCTGGGATACAAGTTATTTTATCCTCTCCAGCTGTGGGCAGTGACATTAGATGGACTAGGTGGACTCGGTCCTTTGGTACATGGCTCCATGGCTGGTGACACCTCCACAGTTTGGAGTATTTTGATAATGGGATGGCTTACATGGCACCAGGTTTACTGGTGTCGGATGGGATTCACCCCTCTCAAAGTGGGAAGAGTGTCTTTGCTCATTAAACTACACATGATAAGGGAGGGAGGTGATACTAAGCTTTCCCATGACAAGCTGTGCGACAAACAGTTGGCTTGTGGAAAGGTGAATTTGAGCCATAAAGATTGGAGGTAGGGAGCCAGTGGTAAGAGTTCAGGAGGAAGACAGTGTCCAGAATCTTGACTCCGATTTACTGGCTGCATCAAATTCTCTGCTAGAGCCTGCATTACAGTATATGATGTCTGATGATTCAAACTTTCTTTATTGTCTGTCCCTTTGAAATACTTTTAAGTTTTCCTATATATTCTGTGCATCTTAAAATCAGAATTATTATTCAGCTGCATTCCAGACTTCATGGAATTTTTATGATCTAATCTTCTTTTAAGGTAAAACCAATGTTTTTTTTTTATTTCAATGATTCTAGCACTGTTCACTGCTGCAAAGTACTGAGCATTGTCTTTCTATTCTGCCCATTTATTTCATAACTAATGAGGTGGATTTGTACTCAGATTTGATGACGCTCCCTTTGTGTACTCTCTGCATACCTTAATAACACTTGTTAATCAAATAGCAATAATACCAGTCCTGGTAAAAGACCTGCTGACTGTGTGATAGTTACTACAGCATTTTCTGTCATTGCTCTAAGCACAAGATTGCTGTGCTGTGACTAAAATTATTTTGGTGGCACCAAAACCACGGAATCTGTTACAGTGTGCACCAATTCAGTCATTTAGAAAATAACGCTGAATTTATACTGAAATAGTGGACATCATAGAAGGCAGCTAGGTTGGTCACACACAACATGCCCCTGGTGAAACCATGCTAGCTGTCTCAAATCACCTCCCTGTCCTGCATACGCAAAGACTATTTTGGAGGCCAGTAATTAGCAGTGTACCCCAGAAGTCAATACTGGGTCCAGTGCTGTTTTAACATCTTCAGGAATGGTCTGGATGGAGGGGTGAGTGTACCCTCAGTAACGGCACACAAAACTGAGAAGAGTGGCAGATACACCAGCAGGTGCCATCCAGATGGATCTCAACAGGCTGGAGAAATGAGCTGACAGGAACATCATGAAGTTCAACAGTAAGAACTGCACAATGCTGTACCTGAGCAGGAAAAGCCCCGGGCACCAATATATCCTAGAAAGCAGCTTGGCAGGACTTGGGGGTCTCGGTGGACATCAGCTTGACCACGAGCCAGCAATGCGCCCTTGCCATAAAGAAAATAAATGATACCCTGGGCTGCATTAAACAAAGGATTTTGAGCAGGCCGAGAGAGGTGACCCTTCACTTCTACTCAGCACTGATAAAGCTACATGTGGAGTCCTGTGCCCAGTTCTGGGCTCCTCAATACAAGAGATGCATGGATGAACCGGAGAGAGTTCACCGAGGACCACAGAAATGAGGAGGGGACTGGATCATCTCTCCTACAAAGAAAGTATGAGAGAGACTAGAAAAAACCAGGTGGCTCGCGAGGATCTTAATAAAGTGTATAAATGTCCAAATGGACGGTGTAAAGAGGACAAAGCCAGGCTCTTCTCAGTGGTGCCCAGTGACGGGACCAGAGACAATGAGCACAGACTGAAGCACAGGAGGTGCCCTCTAAAATGTCAGGAAACTATTTTATTGCGAGAGTGACTGAGCCCTGGCACAGGCACAGGCTGCACAGAGAGGTTGCGAATTGTTCAACTTTGGAGTTATTCAAAAGCTGTCTGGATACAGTCCTGAGCAAATGATTCTGTATGACCATGCTTGAGCAGAGGCACTGGACCAGGTGTCCTGCGGAAGGGACTTCCAACCTTAGTCAATCTGATTCTCAGCTTACTGCCATCCTCTTGCAGCAGACAGCTGACCAGATGCTTTTCTTCCCAGCATTCCTGACAGAGTCTTCCATGGAAAATGAAGCATGTACCAATGAAGTCTCATATCCTTACCAACAAAGGACAGAGGCAGTGGAATTCTCAAAAAAAAAAAAAAAAATCCCCTATCCTGAAGTATGAATTAGCTGTATGACAATGTAACTGTCCACCTGAGCTTGCCTAGTCCCACATTAAATTCAAAGGCAAATGAGGAAAGCGACATGGACGGAGAGCTAAGTACCCAAGCTTTTCCCACAGAGCTGTACCCACTGGAGTCAGGAGAAGATTCCATTGGTTTTCAGGCCTCCTAGACTTAGCAGAGTAGCGGGAACGATGGTGGGAGTGTTGGACTTAGGCTTCAGAGTTTACATCAGTCTGAGAGTAATGGGTGTAGGTCCGCAGCCTTGCAGACTTGCTGCTGAAAACGTGGAGCTGAACTGGGCGAATCTCTCCACGACAAAGACAGATATTTGCATGTGTAGTAGTCAGATAGAAGCTGACTGTGTTTTGCTGTTTCAAGATGGGGAAATGGCGGCTTTCTTAAAGTCGAGCAGAAGACAGAAAGCGAGGGCTGTGCCTGGGAGCATGCATGGGCATGGGGAAGCTGAGCCAACATCCTCCCCTTCACGGCAGTAAGGCTGCTCAGGCCCCATCACCTCATGCAGACTTGGCTGCACCCTGTGCGGGGCCCCACTGGACCCCGTCCCCAGAGTCAAGGTGCTGTGTGAATGGAATGGGCCCGTGCTTTGATGATCATGACCCACAAAAGATTTTGTCAAGGAACTAGGCAAGAAAAGGCAATGGGAATGTTGTCTCCTTTTGGTCACTTAAGAAACATTCCTGTGGTGGAGAGAAAGTGAAAAGCTTGAGGAAGGCCTTGGCCTGCGAAAGGCAGTGGTTGGCAGCTGTGAGAAGGCCACTGACATTGCTGTGCCCCAGACTAACGGCCAATCACTCTCCTCCTTTCTCCATTTTCCTCTTTAATTCTTACTGAAGTGAGTTCCTCACATCTGAAATCTGGCTGATGGCACTGGTTCCATCCACCTTCCCGTGCACCTGCACTCGATAAATACAGGTGTAGCCTGGTTTTCCCCAGTTGCTCTGTACGACAAGCTTCAAGAAATGGAAGTCTCTCATCTCATCCTGCAAAGAACCCAGGGTCACTCCTGGGGTGTTGGGAGCGAAAGCAGGCTCCGCCCGTCTTCCTCTGCCAGCCAGGTCTGGCTCCAGGACCAGCTCCTGCACTGGCTAAGGTGGCAGCTTCTCCCTTCTTCCCCTCTCCCACCCTCGCACCAAAGGACCCCTGCTCCCCTGCAGATCAGAAGCCAGGCCTCAGAGAGCAAGGCAGGTGGCTCTGGAAACCTGAGGCTTGATGGCCCAGAAAATGGGTCCTGGGGAAAATCCTGCTGCACTGTACCTGCAAAGGGAAGGTCTGGATAACCTCTTCCTGTGCAGTGTAGGTGAATGTCCCAAGCGGAGTTTCATCTTTGCCTCCTTCATTCAGTCCCTTGGAGATAAAGCACATGGGAGCAGTTCAGGCTCAACACAGCCACAAGGAAACGCTCATGCCAGATCTGGGAATGTGGTTTCCCTCCAGCTCCTGCAGCTCCAGCACAGTCTGATGCAGGATGCAGTAGGACTGAGTCTCCCCGTCGCGTGTTACTCAAGAGCCTAGAGGTGCTGGGCAGTCATGGCAGTCAGGTGAAGTTCCCAATGACTAGAGAAAGGGAAATATAACCCCCATTTTCAAGAAGGGGAAAATGGATGACCCTGGGAATTACAGACCAGTCAGTCTCACCTCTGTGCCTGGCAAAATCTTGGAGCAGATTCTCTGGGATGGCATGCTAAGGCACATGAAAATCAACAAGGTGCTTGGTGACAGCCAGCATGGCTTCACTAAGGGGAAATCCTGCCTGACCAATTTGGTGGCCTTCTATGATGGGGCTACAGAACTGATGGACAGGGGTAGAGCAGTTGATGTCATCTACCTGGACTTGTGTAAAGCGTTTGACACTGTCCACATGACATCCTTGTCTCTAAATTGGAGAGACATCAATTTGAAGGATGGACCACAGGGTGGATAAAGACCTGGCTGGATGGCCGCACACAAAGAGTTGTGGTCAATGGCTCAATGTCTGGCTGGAGACCAGTAACGAGTGGTGTCCCTGAGGGATCGGTGTTGGGACCGGTCTTGTTTAATATCTTTGTCACTGACATGGACAGTGGGATTGAGTGCGCCCTCAGCAAGTTTGCCGATGACACCAAGCTGTGGTTTGGTTGATACCCTGGAGGGAAGGAATGCCATCCAGAGGGACCTCGACATGCTTGTGAGGTGGGCTGATGCCAACCTCATGAAGTTTAACCATGCCAAGTGCAAGGTCCTACACCTGGGTCGGAGCAATCCCAGGCGCAGCTACAGGTTGGGCAGAGAAGAGATTCAGAGCAGCCCTGCGGAGAAGGACTTGGGGGTGTTGGTCGATGAGAAAATGAACATGGGCCGGCAGTGTGCGCTTGCAGCCCAGAAAGCCAACCGTAACCTGGGCTGCATCAAAAGGAGCGTGACCAGCAGGTCGAAGGAGGTGATCCTGCCCCTCTACTCTGCTCTTGTGAGACCTCACCTGGAGGTGCAGTTCTGGTGTCCTCAACATAAAAAGGACATGGAACTGTTGGAACAAGTCCAGAGGAGGGCCATGAGGATGATCAGGGGACTGGAGCACCTCCCGTGTGAAGACAGGCTGAGGAAGTTGGGGCTGTTCAGCCTGGAGAAAGAAGGCTGCATGGAGACCTCATAGCAGCCTTCCAGTATCTGAAGGGGGCCTATAGGGATGCTGGAGAGGGACTCTTCATTAGAGACTGTAGTGATAGGACAAGGGGTAATGGGTTAAAACTTAAAGAGGGGAAGTTTAGGTTGAATATAAGAAGGAAATTCTTTCCTGTTAGGGTGGTGAGGCACTGGAATAGGTTGCCCAGGGAGGTTGTGAATGCTCCATCCCTGGCAGTGTTCAAGACCAGGCTGGACGAGGCCTTGGGTGATCTGACTTAGCGTAAGGTGTCCCTGCCCATGGCAGGGGGGTTGGAACTAGATGATCTTAAGGTCCTTTCCAACCCTAACTGTTCTATGATTCTATGAAAATGCACTGAGCAGGACGTGGGGTGACACCATTCCACATGTCCCTTGAAATGTCCCGTCAGAGGATGGCAGTGCTTGGGAGCACCAGAATCTCAGCAGATGCGCAGAGACCAGCAAGTCCCTGTTACAGCTTTCCCACACAGCCGGGTCGCAGCCCCCCAGGGCTCAGCAGACTCACATAGACTATGAAATTTCGCGGGGCACTGCTGATAGTCCTCAGCGGAGAGTCTGTCTTTAAGGTGTGCTGTACGGTGATGGCCGTTGGTCGTACTTTTGCAGGCAACTGGATTAGCACCTCACTCTCAGACCCTTGGAAAGGCCAGCAGTATCCCGGGGAAGAATCAGGCTGAAAGCAGAGGACAAGAGAATGAAAGTGAGAGTGTGATGTGGCCCACTGCTCTCCTGTGCAGCCAGAACCATAGGCGGCACTGCACCTGTGGGAAAACCTCAAAACGAATGGCATTTGTCCACTTCCCCATAAATGGGAAGTGAATGGAAGTGCCCACTCATCTTCCTAACCGGGCAAAAAGGAAAACAGCTTGTCAGCGGGAAACATCTGATACCTGCACCTGAGTCAGGCCTTTAAAGAAACCTGTCTTTTCGCACAGCAGCTCTGAAGCCTCTCCCCACCCTTCACTGTCCAGTCAGGAGAGGGACAGTCAAGCTGTGGCAGGGAAATGGGGAAATACACAGACATGACCTGGGACGGTGAGCAGGAAGCTCGGCTCAGCACAGCCACTTCTGCGGCCAGCTGCTGTTTTGGAGGGATCCAAGCCCTCTGTGAGACCTCAGGTGTCAGGCACCGGACCCATGCCATGCCCTTGAGCAACACCACTGGCCTGAGGGGAGATAGCCCAGGGCTTGCAACCGACTCTGTAAGAGGCAAGAGAAGCAGCACTGACAGTTTCTGCTACTCTACCTGCACAAAGGTATCCAGAATGGGTGGAATACACAGGAACCAAAACATCCTGCAGAGCCATGCAGAGCTGCTGGATGATCTCTGCAGGTTGATGGCAGCCCCTGGAGGGAGAAGAAAGGAGAGTGCAGGAGGCTCCATGCTCTGAGGACCTGGTGGCTGCAGGCTATTTCTAAGGATGTCTGCCAGCCTCCATATGCAGCACCACACCTTTGTGGGTGCCCCAGGAAAACAAGGTAATCCCCATGCCCGGCGACAGCATTTCTCTCTCAGACACACAACAGGAGGTCTGTGAGTGCTGGGAGACAGCAAACCCCAGGAGACCTGCTCGGTCACAGTCACGCTCTTGCATCCCGTGGTTTTGTTCCGTGTCCCTGTGCCTCAGAGAACCGAGGCTGCCACACAGCCTCCTTTTGGGAGCGCTAAGCAGGAGCTCAGTGCGATGACAGCCCTGCCTTCCTGGGGTCATCCGTACTTGTGCTTTTCACAGCCCAGCCAGACATCTGTGTGATTGCAGACATCCCTTCTCTCAGTTGCTGAGCTTCCTGGGGAAAACACAAACAACCACGTCACAAGCTGGCCAGAAGGGTCTTTACGGTGGAGAAGCACAACCAGCATCCCCCGGCAACGGATGGGGTGTGTGGGCTGAGCAAGAAAAGCCCAGCAGCTGCCCAGGGAGGGCCCGGCCCTCTTTCCCAAAGTGCAGGATCACCTTCTTCACAGTGTTGATCTCTGCAGCCAGGCTTGCCAGTTCATCTCTCAGATGTTGCATGTTGTCCATTTTTTTCCGCGCCAGAGCAAGCATATTTCTGCAGTCAGCGGGAAAGCAGATCTTGTCAGAGAGTTGCCCAGCCCCTCCCAAAGCCTCCAAGCTTGGGAGGAAGAGAGGCAGCAAAGCTCCAGCCTTTTTTTTTCACTTTCCCTGGCTTGTGAATACTTCCTTCCCCTCCAGGTTTAGCAAAAGGCCCAGGCAGGAGCACAAGATACACGCTCTGGGCACTGTGAAAGTGAATGAAAATAGCAGGAGCTCATCTGCCGCTACCCCATGAAACGTGTTGCATGCAGGTCAGGAGAGAGGGGAGGACTCTTACCGAAAGGAATACAGGTCAGCTGCAGGCTCCCCCAGCAGTACCTGAAAGGAAAAGGCTCTCCTGAGTCCCCAGAACTGCCAGGGCTTTCCAGAGTCATGCAGAAGCTGCGGCTGATTCTCTATGTCACTGCCTGGAACTGGAGGGACTGGGCTATTTACCCATGCACCCACCTCCACCAGTGCTCCTCTGTGGGACTTTACGGTCCCACAGCTGCAGTCACTGACCTGTGGCAGACCTGCTGTCTGCAGCATCCACATCACCGTCGAGGTCCCACAGAAGGCACCAGCTGTAATTCACATCACCAAAAGAGGTATTATATCAGGGTTTCTAATGATCCCTGTAGTCACATGGTCCCCTCCCACAGCAGGATGGCAAGAGGCTGGCTGAGGACATAGGGATGCAGAGAAGGGTTGGTACTACAAGTGGAGACCCTCTCCCCATGCCGGAGGGCTCTGCACACTCCTAGCTTCCAGGTGTGCTTGGAGCCCCACAGCTACAGACCGTATCTCCTCCCATCTGTGGTGAGCATCATAGGCTCTGCACCTGTTTCAGCTGTTGGCTCTGGGGCTGGTTGCATCATGGACATCTCAGAAGCTCCCTGAGCTTCAGACATGGAGGGGTTGGAAGGGCCCCACCAGCACCTCTCTCTCACTCTGAAGCTCGCATTCTCTGCCTCCATGCCTCCACTGGCAACAGGCAAATACTCACCAAAAGCCGCTAGGATCATCAAGAAGAGGACTGTGAAGAGCCTCTTCTTTGTCAAGGGGATGAGCCCTTTCCTGGAAAAGAGGGAGTTTGGCTGGCAGCAATGATCCAGGGCAGAGCCCTGCACATGGGGGATTTTCTCTTACAAGCTGAGGAGCAGTAATCTTGAAGTAGCCAGAAAGCTCCTGGCGGGGAGCACAACCAGCCCCACTTTCCTCCACCAGCCTCCCTATGCTCGCCCTGAGCCCTCCACGCTCCGTGTCCCTGTGTTGTTACTGAGCAGGCGCTGTACTCACATGGTGGCGATCCCTGAGCAAAGGCACCTCTGCAGGAAGACCATGGCCGTTACCACACTGCAGAGCAACCCTGGGCAAAGAAATCAGAGAAAAGCCTCAGGATCCTCCTTGAGTACATGCCAGATAGCTGCAGGCAGGTGGGTGCTGTTCCCACGCAGTCCCTCTCCGGGGGTGAGGCAAGGGCTGTGGCTGTGGCCTCCAGAGGGGAAGCTGAGAGTGTGGAGTGGAAGGCCGGGCAGGATCCCCTTGCAGTCAGGGTACGTATGCCGTACCTGGGGAGGGAGGGTGGCACGAGTCCTGGGGTGCCCCCTAGGAACTACAGTATCCCAGCTCCTTCATCGTCACATAGCCACAGTGAGCCCAGGCAGGAGGATGGTGCTGGTTCTGCAGCGCTGTTGGGCCTGGCCAAGTCGGGCAGGCTTGGTGCAAACATGGGGTGAAAGGCAGCGCTGAACTCACCCTCACTTTCTGCAGCAGGGCAGTGGGCAGACCTGTGCCCTTGGGTGCTCCGAGCCTTCGAACAACTTTGCCTGCTGCGGCTAGCTGTTCTCCCTGGCCAGGCAGCCGCCCGTGCTCGTGGACGAGCCTTCCTCTGCACCATCCTGGTGAGAAATTACGCCTTCTTCAAGCTGCAAGGGTTTGTCTGTGTGGGCAGATGAGCTCCTGAAGACGGCCAAGAGACCGCCTTGCCAGTGGCACTCAGCCTGCAGAACGCTGTGAGTTCCATCTGGGCCCACAGTGCCCAACCTCACAGACTCTCCCCCTGCGTGGTGTGACGTCATAGTGTGGCGTTAGATGAAGCAGTAGGGTGGGTGCAGGGTCCGGGGTGTGTGGAGAAAGACTCCACAGCTCACTTGGTGGTGTGTTTTGCATATCCTACACCTTCCTGGGGCAAGATGTACCCTAGAGGTGAGCAGTGGGTCCAGTGTTGTGGAACAGGATTCCTGCCCCTCCTAGAGAACTGCGCCCAGGTCTCCACTCCGCAGTACAGGAAGGATGCAGAGCTACTGGAAAGAGTTCAACAACGAGCCAGTAAGATGGCAAAGAGACTGGAGCACGTCTCATACGAGGAAAGGTTGAGCTTGGACTGTGAGCAGGAAGCTCGGCTCAGCACAGCCACTTCTGCGGCCAGCTGCTGTTTTGGAGGGATCCAAGCCCTCTGTGAGACCTCAGGTGTCAGGCACCGGACCCATGCCATGCCCTTGAGCAACACCACTGGCCTGAGGGGAGATAGCCCAGGGCTTGCAACCAACTCTGTACAGAGTATTTTTTATCTCAATCATTCTAGCACTGTTCACTGCTGGAAAGTACTGAGTGTTGTCTTTCTATTCTGCCCATTTATTTCATAACTGGTGAGGTGGATTTGTACTCAGATTTGATGACGCTCCCTTTGTGCACCTCAGCAAAATGTGTACTCTGTGCATACCTTAATAACACTTGTTAATCAAATAGCAATAATAATACCAATCCTGGTGGAAGACCTGCTGACTGTGTGATAGTTACTACAGCATTTTCTGTCACTGCTCTAAGCACAAGATTGCTCTCTCAGACACACAACAGGAGGTCTGTGAGTGCTGGGAGACAGCAAACCCCATGAGACCTGCCCAGTCACAGTCATGCTCTTGGGTCCTGTGTTTTTTTCCATGGGGAGCGCTGAGCAGGAGCCCAGTGTGGTGACAGCCTGCCCTGCCTTTGTCCATCTGTACCTATGTTTTTCAGAGCCCAGCCAGACATCTGTGTGATTACAGACATTGTGTCTCTCATTTGCTGAACTTCCCTGGGAAAGACATGTACAATCACATCACGAGCCAGACAGAAAGATCTTTACAGTGGAGAAGCTCAACCAGCATCCCCTGGCAAAGGATGGGTGTGCGGGTTGAGCAGAAAAAGCCCATGAGCTGGCGCAGGCTGGATGTGGTTCTGTGCAACCTGATCTATTCGGAGATGTCCCTGCTCATCCCCTGCAGGGAGGCTGGGACTAGATGGCTTTTGAAGGTCCCTTCCAACCTAAACCATTCCGTGATTCTATGAAGCACTAGAGTGAAAATAATGTAAATATAGATAAGGTATGATTATCGATAGTAATCTTTATCTGGTGTCTGCCTGATGTGACCAAGGATTATGCTCAGGATTTAACCAGCTATCAGGTTTGGGATAAAGAAGTAATCCAAACGGGTCCCTTTTAGATCAGGAAATAGAGATTTTTGAGACCTGTTCTTTCTGCTCAGTTCCTATGTTTCTTTATAGAGAATGTTTTTCATTTGGCTATAACTTTTCTCTGGGCTATTGAGAGGTGCTGTGAGTTCTATGATGACACACAGAATAGAAATCCTATAGACAGTCATCTAGGCTCAGCCTTCTTTACAGTTTTTTTTTACTGCAGGAACTGAACTTGGCTATGCCTGTGATGTTCTCCAGTCTTACTCTTTTAAAACTGACTTTTTACTGTCTTACTGACTTGGTGCCACCACTGGCTCTACTGTTACACCTAAGATTATCATTAAATCCTCATTTACTTATCTTAAATTTCTAGTCACAGTGTTTATTAATTTGGTTGTTATGATAGCTTCAGAACAGCGGTTTTGTTTAGCTGTAGAAAGCACTGTACCTTATTACCAGGCCTGTGATATTTGAGTCTTTCATCTGACATGAATTGAAGAATTTATTCATGCTGCTTTCTTAAAAGGTTTCCTGTGAATCATTTTAATAGCATTTATTCTCTTGTAAATTAAATGGCTGCAGAAATGAGAAGTTGTCGTTCCCTCCCCATCCTTCTCCTTCATGTGCCTCCTGTGAAGCAAAGCTAGGTATAACTGTAGTGCACTTTAACAACTAGATATAGTATGGTAACTCTGGTTTACCTACTACTTCACTGGGCACATGAGAGGTGATCTCTGCCATTGTAGATGCCTGCTATCCTCTTACTTTAATCATGATTACTGATGATCTGTATTTCACTTAACTAACTAAACCTTCCGAGCAATAAGTCTAAGTGATGTTCCATTTTCATTTCTGTGTGGATATTGTCCAGCCTCTTTGAGCTCAATGACTAAAAATCTGTGGAAGCTAAATAGCTGGTGCTGTGCTCTTTCTTAAGTCCCAGGACTGTGATTTCATTTACTCGCCTTGGCTCACACCAGAAATTCAGTCTATGTAAGAAGAATTCTGTGTTCATACACAAATCCTTAGTGCTGTTTTTTTTTTTTAAATAAAGTTATATAAATATAATAGTGCTGTTATTGTTTTTAAAAATAATTCAAAAAATCTCTGTGTAATTACTCTGACAGTAGACACAGAGGGGTGAAAACAAGAATTCTGTTATATTTGTGGCTCATTACATGACATTGTTTCAGCTCTCTTGACCAGTGGAGGCAAAAAGCGAAGTTCACTATAGATATTTCTTGCAATATCTCCAGTTTTATTTAAAGAACTTTAACATGCAGTCATGACTGGATACATGAGAAGACTTTTGATAATATTTCTTGCTCTCACTGAAGGATGCAGAGCTACTGGAAAGAGTTCAACAATGAGCCAGTAAGAGACTGGAGCATGTCTCATACGAGGAAAGGTTGAGCTTGGACTGTTCAACCTGGAGAAGAGAAGGTACGGGCGGGGGGAATCTTGCTAATGTTTGTGAAGACCTGAAAGGAGGATGCAAAGAGGACAGAGCCCGCACTTTTCAGTAGTGCCCAGTGACAGAACCAGAGGCAAAGTGCAACACAGGAGTCTCCGTCTGAACAACAGGAAACACTTTTTCGGAGTGAGGGTGACCGAGCACTGGCATGGGCTCCCCAGGGAGATTGTGGAGTCTCCATCCCTGGAGACATTCAACAGCCTCAGCAGTGGTCCTAGGCAACCAGCTCTAGGTGAGCCTTCCTGACTAGGGTGTTTAGACCACATACCCTCCCAGAGGCCTTTTCAGACCTCAAGCAGTCTGTGGCCCCATGATTTCACTTCAAAGGCAGTCTTCTAGTAGGAATTGCGTTTTAATACTTTTCTTAGTTTTCAACTTGCGAAGTATGAACTAAGGTCGCTAT